CACACCTCTATACACTTACACACACCTACACACACCTCTATACACTTACACACACCACACACACTCTATACACTTACACACACCTACACACACCTCTATACACTCACACACACCGACACACACTCTATACACTTACACAACAACAACAACCGCCATTCGCCACTAAGTGGCGGTGACGTCACCACGACGCTTGTGCTAGTGTAGTAGAGTTCACGACTCTTGGACGCCGGAGTTGGAGGCACACGGGTTTATTTCACACAGCACGGTTGTGGCATACAACACTAGAGGGGGTGTCGGCCCCCTCACCCGGCTAGCTGGGGATACACGCTAGCTACTCCTAGCCTGCCTCCTAGTCCTCCACTAAAGGGCTAGGGGAGGCTATCTGGCCCGACACTGGTAAGTCGGGCTCACGGTACCCTGAGTCCCAGACCAGCTCTGACAAGAGCACCGGCTCTGGCTCTCGGGACCACGCCGCTGGCTCGGTCCTGTTCGGCCCTGATAAGGACGGCGAACCAGGGGAGTCCAGGGCTCTAGAACACGTCTTCAGTCTTCACTGGTTAGCTTAACATCAACTCCCGAGCCCTCCGACACATCCCCTTTTAAACCCAACCCCCCCCCGCTGAGGGGTGGGGCCCCGGGGGATCATAACTCCGAATCAGCCCCCCCCAGGGTGACTGGCTCGGACGTCGTAGAGAGCACCCCCCCCGTGCACTCACGTAGCCCCGACCAACTGTGTTTGTTTGCCATAAGCTGCCATGCATAACGGGCTCTCTCTTCTAACACCCCTACACTAGGCCAAGTGCACCTTGAGGCCACGTGAAGTGTCGAACGCCCGCTGGCAGGAGGTCAGGGGCAGACCCAGGTGCCACGGGTCGACTGACCGAGATGACCGAGATGACTGGCTGATGCACCACCTGTGCCCCCTACTGTACCAACTACACTGCAGTAGCGTCCTTCACGAGCCTCCTCCACTGAGGCCGATCTTGACACCGCTGGTACCAGTCATCGGCAAGTCCACTCAGCTCCACGTCCTCCTGTACCACATCACTCCATCTCTTCTCTAGCCCGTGCCGCGCACCGTTTAGCCCCCTCGATCCGGCCGAAACAAAAGCTATTTAGGCATGCGGTGGCTGGGCCTGCGGGCTAATGACCCAGCACAACGCAGCCTTGCCTGCCTGGAGGGCTCACCGATGGGATTTGCCCAGATCTTTCAAGGATTTGTGAGCTCCTCACACAATCCAGCTGGTTAAACTCAGGATGGATCGTTAGCAGGCCAGCCTAAATGTTTCCAACCGGCGAAGATGCTCCTATTAGGGGGGTCCACGTTCGCAAGCGTAGAGAAGGGAGGGAATGACGTGGCCGAGGAAGCCTAGAAGCTTCGTGCAGAGCGACAGACCAGGTAGCTTCCACACAGCATTACGCAACGATGAAAGATTTTGCCGCTCGACTGATTCGGAGTGAGACCTCTGCTGTTAAACTGGAACGCCGGTCATAAGCACACTGCCCAGGTATGGGAAACTCTCCACTCTCTCCACAACTGCCCCATCACCGATTGGGAGTTGTTGGGGGTGGAGTGTCCGATGGTACAAAATACCCAGGCAGGTGCTTAGTTTTGGTGGGGCTGATGGTAAGGCCCCACCTCTTAGTGGCACGCTCCAGTCTCAGCTGCAGCGTCTCCAACTCCTCTTCTGAATGAGCAGCTATTACCAATCATCGGCATACATAACGTGGTTGACCAATAGGGAGCCATCCCTTGATCGCACCCGGGCATCGATCAGCCTCCCATTATATCTGTACCAATGGAAATTCCCCCGGTACAGCTATTGAAGGCTTCACGAACTACGCAGTCGAAATAGATGTAAATAATGTGGGAGCCAGAGGACATCTTTGTCGCACCCCAAGGTGTACAGGGAAAGGCTCTGACTCCCGGCCACGTAGTTTTACCCGGGCCTGCTCACCATCATGAAGGTCCCTTAATGATCGTGAGAAGAGGGTCAGGGACTCGGAAAGCACGAAGAACAACCCAGAGCCCAGGCCTACTGATGGTATCATAGGCCTTGACCAGGTCAATAAAGCAGAGATGTAGGTCTTGTTGGAATTCCATACACCTCTGCTGTAGCAGACGGACAGAAAATATGGCATCTGTGCAGGACCGCCCTTTCCTGAAACCGCATTGGGCCTCCGCAAGCCTCTCCTCAGCGTGCCTAGCAAGGCGATGTTGAATAATCCTTGCGAGGACCTTTCCCGGCACACTGAGGAGTGAGATGCCCCTGTAGTTGTTACAGTCTGTGCGGTCCCCCTTCTTAAAGAGGGGGATCACCAGGGCATCCTTCCATTCCTGCGGAACCCGTCCAGTGGTCCAGACTGTTGTTATGATGTCATATAGGGCAGTCTGTGCACAAAACGCCACCCCTCCCTGAGCATTTCGCTTGGGAGATCATACACACACCTACACACACACCTGTATATACTTACACACACCTACACATACACCTCTATACATTTACACACACCTACACATATACCTCTATACACACACACCTACACACACACCTCTATACACTCACACACACCTACACACACACCTCTAGACACTTACACACACCTACACACACCTCTATACACTTACACACACCTACACACACCTCTATACACTTACACACACCTACACACACACCTTTAGACACTTACACACACCTACACACACACCTCTATACACTCACACACACCTACACACACACCTCTATACACTCACACACACCTATGTAATAAGAGCCTATGTCCGGCTCACGTGGTGATCGGCTCTGCCGGTCCTGCTTTACAGCCAATGGGGGAGAGCCTGGGAGGCATGGCCCTGGCGTGATCGAGGGGTGCCAGCTAGGGTGATTGGTTTTGCTGGTTTTTGGCCTCAGCCAATGGGAAGACAAGTCAGGGGCATGGTCCCGGGAGTTGATGGGGAATCTAGAAGATTCGGCGCAGGCTACCAAGGATTGGCTGGAGCATACCACGTCACCCAGGCATTAAATAAGGGGAGAGATGAACGACACGTGGTCAGACGAAGAACGAAGGAAGAGAGGGGCTAAGCGCGAGCGGGGCTCCGAGTGCCACGTGGCGGTGCGTCTCTTGTGGTCTGTCTGCCCACTCCCCGTTGCCTGCCAGCAGCGGGGAGTACTTGTGAACTGGATAAATAAAGGACCGATTCCACAAGTCGTCTCCAAGAGTATTATTACACCTACACACACACCAATATACACTTACACACACCTACACACCTCTATACACTTATATACCTACACATACACCTCTATACACTTACATACCTACACATACACCTCGATACACACACACCTACACACACCTCTATACACTCACACACCTACACACACACACCTCTATACACTCACACACACCTACACACACCTCTATACACTTAAATACCTACACATACACCTCGATACACACACACCTACACACACCTCTATACACTCACACACACCTACACACACACCTCTATCATCATCATGGCTTGGCTTCGCGAACGAAGATCTAGGAAGGACATCCACGTCTTCTGCAGGCACGCTGGTGGCTGAAGAGGCCTATGCGGGACAGGCAGGTCCTGCCACAACAGCTGCAAGTGAAGGTCTCATCTGGGATGGGTGCTGAGGGATCACGGTTCTTCCTCCTTCTCCTTTTGTCCTCCATACGGGCCCTGCGGGTATCTTCGAAGAAGGAGGTGGCCTGGTGGACTGTGTGCCGCCAGGAGTTGCGATCAGCTGCTTGTGTTGCCCACTGACGGTGATCGATGCAGCAAGCAGTGAGGAACTTCTTCAGGGAGTCTTTGTATCGCTTTCGTGGTGCCCCTATGTCGCGATGGCCAGAGGACAGTTCCCCATACAGCACAATCTTAGGCAAGCGGTGGTTCTCCATCCTGGCGATGTGCCCTGCCCAACGAAGCTGTGTCTTGAGGACCATGGCCTCGATGCTGATGACCTTCGCTGACTTGAGGACTTCAGTGTTGGCGACGAAGTCACTCCAGTGAATATTGAAGATTGTGCGGAGGCAGCGCTGATGGAAACGCTCGAGGAGACTCAGGTGACGACGGTACGTGACCCATGACTCAGCGCCATACAGGAGAGTGGTCAGCACAACAGCTTTGTAGACGTTGACCTTTGTGGCTCTTTTAAGGTTTCTGTTGTTCCAGACACGTTTGTATAGTCTGCCAAATGCACTGTTTGCCTTGGCCAGCCTGTTGTCGACCTCTATACACTCACACAAACCTACACACACCTCTATACACTTACATACCTACACATACACCTCGATACACACACACCTACACACACCTCTATACAGTCACACACACCTACACACACCTCTATACACTCACACACACACCTCTAGACACTTACACACACCTACATACACACATCTTTACACTTACACACACCTACACACACACCTCTATACACTTACACACACCTACACACACACCTCTATACACTCACACACACCTACACACACCTCTTACACTCAACACACCTAACACCTCTATACACTACCACCTACAAACACACCTCTATACACTTACACACCTACACACACACCTCTATACAACTACAGACACATACACAACACCTACACACACACCTCTATACACTCACACACACCTACACACACACCTACACACCCCTACACACACCTCTATACACTTACACACACATCTCTATACACTGACACACACCTACACACCCCTCTATACACTCCACACACCTACCACACCTCTATATACTCACACATACACACACACCCTCTATAGACTTACACACACCTACACACACCTCAATTACACTTACACACACCCTTCAACATTACTAATGTAGTGGGTACAATGGAGAGAGGCAAGACCACTCAGCTCCACATGCTCCCGTACCGCATCAGTTAATCTCTACTCCAGCCCATGTCGTGCCAAATCTTGACTTAACGCTTTCGGACTGCTTCTTTCTTGGAACCTATCTACGTGACTTTTACCGAAAGACCCAAAGAACATGTCGTGCCGTTTAGGCCCGTCTATCCCGGCCAAACAGAAGCTGCTTGGCCATGCGGTGGCTGGGCATGTGGGCTACATGACCCAGCCAACGCAGCCTTGCCTGCAGGGACTTTGTCCAGATCTTTCAAGGAATTGTGAGCTCCTCACACGATCCAGCCTGGTTAACCCCAGGATGGATCGTAGGCAGGACAGCCTAGACGTTTCTAACCGGCGCAGATATTCCATTAGGGGGGTCCACGTTTCACAAGATCGTAAGCAATGTCCCATGGCCCGACTTTCCCGCCTGTCGAGGTTCTTTCAGGCCACAGGGTTATTGGCCAATGTGTTGCGTTTGTCGTCTTGAATTGCGTTCGTGCGTCGCTGCCAACGCAGCTTCACCCAATAATCTGTAGCCCCAGAGACTCGGCCACGAGAGGGCGCCGCGTCTCCGCCGTGCACCGCAGTGGCAGCAGCAGCAGCAGCGCCAGGCTCCTGCCACTGCGCTACACGGTCCTGTGCCGAAGCAGGCCCATATATCTACTCTCATCACCCAGGAATGTCTGTCCTTAACTCTCGTGACGTCACTCCACATCGACCAACCCCCTAATTAATATTCATGAGCAGGTGACGTCCTCCACATGGACACCCCCCCCCCCCCCGTTCATAATAATTAGTGGGTGACGTCACTCCACATGGGGAGCCGAGGCGCCTCCTCCCTCCTCCTCGGCGTCAACTCACAACCCTCACGACAAAGGCAGAACAACCCTGACGTCACGCGATCTCCATAACGCAGTTGAGACATCAAAGTAAAAAGGACGTCATGATGAACAAGGGATGATAACCTGTAAATGAAATAGGTCCGAGTCACCGCGGCCTTACAGATTGCACACGAATGGATGCAATGGA